TAGACATGTATAATCTGTTGTACTTTAAATGTATGTGCCTATTTTTAGATTAATATAAAAAAAAAATATCTCGAGAAGAACAAATAAAATGAATAGCCTATGCAATATAAAGGTTGGTGAGATTTTAAACAAAAATGTCAAATATTCGTGTTCAAACTGATTAGACTGAAAGTCTAAAGTAAATATATTTAACTCGACAGTATTTATATTTTGCATTATAAAAAAATTATAAAAATTATAAAAACTGAAACATTTTTTTACCTTTGACATCAATTCTTATCGTATAGTATTTTACGTTTGCCATTATTATTTATCATAATTTTATGCGACTTAACTTTCATTTCTTTGTTTGCTAAATTATGGACACATTATATTTTTTTATACTTTTATTGTTATGATTTTGATTGATTTTTTTCTACTTATCTCACGTTTTATTGAATTCCTTCTACACAGTGCAGCAATAGTTTGAGAGACATCTAGATTTTAACAATTTTAAACTCGTAATAAATTCAAGATCTACATAGCCAAGCGTGAGATAAAATCTGTGTAAATTTTAACAACTATAATTCAAAATTGTTATTAAATATATGTATTATGTATATATAATATATATGTATATGTATATATATATATATATACATCAATATATAAATTATTATATCTGTGAATTTATATTCTTTACATATTTCTTCATATTTCATATTCATTTATCAACTACGTTGTTGAAGATGGTTCAAATTTAGATCAAACGTTGAATTTTTATGTTAAATATTCTTTATTTTATCAAACACAGGATGAATCATTTTAATTTTTTCAAAATCTGTAAGTTTAATACAATAACTAATAAAATATCCAATTAACGATTAAAACTTTTTAAACGTTGTTCAGAGTCATGATTCTTGACATCATCTGTCAAAGTCAATAACATTGGAGATTGTTTCTATTATTTTTGTTCTATGCACAAATTCATTGTTACATTAAAAATAAGAAGAATAACTTTCAATAGCTTTGACATTGGCATATCAAGGCAGATCATAACAACGGTCAAAAAATCGTCAGTTGGATTCCTTAAATAATGCAAATATCAGCGGGACTGTAAGTTGAAGTTTCATAATTTGAAAAATATATAATAAAAAATAACATTGTTGTAGTGTTTTGGAAAGGGGTCTTCAAGTCAGCTACAAGAATATGTGTTAAAATTGGAGATTCCATTAAAAAAATTTTAAATAACCTTGTCCTGATCTTAAGGATATCTTCTCGAGGTCAACTAAGATCACCAACTTTCTTCTCCCTTAGCCATAAAACTTTTGTTTAAAACATTTGTCTTAAACTTACAGATTTTGAGAAAATCGACTGGATAAATTAAAATAGTCCACCTTGCATAACATTTTGTTAAATATGACGTATAATAGTCCACGTCTGCGTAGGTTCTTTTTTATTAACCCTATTTTAATTTTCTCTTTTTTAATGCTGCTGTGTTAACACTGTATTGTCTGTGCTTTTTGGAAAATACCCAATAAAAATTAAAAACTGAATGAAAAACTGTTCTGACATTTGTTTTTATTCCAAACGTAGATGGATCAGTAAAAACTCGAAACTGCCGCGAGAACGGCATTGAAATAATATCGAAAATAAAGAAGAACGATATCTGATGCCGATAATCTCGAGTGAGGTACACATTGATTTTCTTTTCCTCGTCCTTCATCTATCGTTCGTTATCGTCGTTGTCACGACGGCAGAAAACGAATACAACGAATAAAGTCCACGTGCTTGGTTAGGTACGATCAGGATCTTAACGTCAAGTTGGCGTGAGCCTTATCTGAGAAATGCGAGAGCCGTCACCTACATCTCGTCCGTGTTCCATCGGTTTCGTAAGAATCGCTTGATTTTTGAGCGACGGTACTCGGTTCATTCGGTTGCTTTTACTAAAGTTCATGTGTTTATTGTCAAGGTTGAAGTTGATCGCTCCTTTGCGGAAACTTTCAAGGCTCCCCTGGTATCATTTAATATCACGCGAACAACGTTGATACAATTTTAATCTCTTTCAAGTTCGCTTTTTTTTTTCTTCGTCCGTGCTGATAATGGAATATCGTCTCGTTTTTCCCTTCTCCCTTGCTGCCCAGTAGTTCTAGTTTCCGATAGAGAGTAACACGTGGTGATAAATCAGTTGGCTGGACGTGAACTGGCTTCGTGAAATTCCGGTTATCACGGCACCGCGAACGCGATCTATGGACGTTGTACACGAGGCATTCGAGATATCCCAGTAACGATCCGTCGACTGTATATGCAGCTTCTTGGCAGGCTTCCCTAGTGTCCCTACTTTTTATTCGTTTCATCCTGCCGCGGTTGCTTCGCCAAGTCTAGTCCTAGCACTGATCTAACAAATTGTCCAAATCGGGACGTCGCGCAAGGAACGACCTTGTGAGACTCACTGGAAGACCGTGAATTCCAAACAATTTATACATGTCGTATAGCTAAGATTTAATTCATATAAGTGGAATAATGGTCGGGAGAAATAAATTCCCCGGCGGTTTTGCTGGATTCACACTGGTCGTGTCGTTTTATTTCGATGATACGAAGCAAAATCCTATTTTCTGGTTGGTTGCAGAGCATCATACGACGCACGTCGAATCCAGCATCTCTCTTATCCGGAGTCGCGAAAAAGAACTGCCCTTCGGTACTTTTCAGCGAGCGAATTATTTAGTTAGAACATGCCGTTTCCGATACACTATTACCGCGCATCTACATATATTGAGCAGAGTCACCGTAAGTCGCCTTTCCATCAGCAATCAGCATCTGCTAAGTCGACCGCACGATAGCCCGACGGACGGGAATCAATACGTGTTCAGAGTTTACAGTTTCCCGGAGTTTCCGTATACAAATTCCACTGCAGCATTAGCTATCTCTTGAGTGGACATTGGATACAATGGGCCACTTGGCAACCGCAGATAATTTTTATAAATATTTGCTTACACTCTCGCTTACACTTCAAATAGAATAGCATGGCAATTTTTAATTATACGTAAAAAACGATTTTCCTAAAATATTCAAAAATTTACATACAAATCTAAAAATACATAATTTGGCTCATAGAATTGAAACGCAAAATATTCTCAACATCGTGACTTTTGATAAACAATAAAGATTGTCCTGTGAATTACGATTCAATTTATTAACATCTAATATACAATGCGAACGTTTCAACTTTAATAAGTTTTTTTTCATCAGTGTTTACTTCCAATCTATTAATTCTTCAAACCCCTACAATACTAGATTATTGATCTTGAGTGAATCCCTATATCATACATTAAATAAATTAATAGCAGTTTACATATGTCGACTCGGTACTTTTCTTATGTACGTTATTTTAAATCAATGTCTTCATCTTATCAATATTGTCACTAAGTCAATGTTGTAATGTCAACGTTATCCAATGCTTCAACTAATATCGAGAATCTTATTAAGTCAATTGTAGCCTAGTCTTTTTGTTTTCTCTTTATCTCATTTAACGAGACGATGGAGAGAAGAAAGCTAAGTTTTGGACAGGTCTGTTCTAGCAGCTGTTCTTACATAATTATTTCGAGTTGAACAAAATTATTTTTATATCTGTATTTAGCTAAATTTTTAGATATTTCAGCAAAACAGTTCTTTTCATATTCATACATAAGAATAAGTTATATTCTTTTTGCCGACGTTATTTGATTAACCAATAATTTTCTGTCAAATTAAAAAATAATTTTTCTTCTTTTCTGAAAAACTTAATTTTTTGAGTTGTATCACTTCTGAAGTAAGAGACCGATATAAATGCCGCGATAACGGAAAATCAAGGCATCGCTTTCCTTTTCTCTGCGAAATTATAAGATGAGAAGGTTAATTTATATAGATTTATTTGATACGAAAAATTATACGGGTACGGAATGAATGAAGTTTTGGAGATACGGAGCGTTAGATGCATCCAGAACGATAACCGCTCACTGAGCGCTCAGTGAACTCTTTCATCTGATTAGCATATTCCATTAGATCCTAAAATATAGACCAATCAGATGAAAGAGCTCACTGAGCGTTCAGCGAACGCTTGTTAATTGTTCTGAATGCACTCATTGATACGATCAAGAGACATGACAGTGTCTCGCGCGAAATGAACGCGCAGTGCGAGGAATAAACGCAATTTTATTTATTATTTCGTGAGATAACGCAAGAGGCGTGACAATCGAAATAATAAAAACTAAACAGGATGATTAATAAGGAACGCGGTATACAAAACAAATGGTTATACTCTTTAGGAAATGATACAGCTTTTTCTAAGAGATAGGGGATGATCACGTTACCTCAGGGTAATCGAACCCTTTCATCGTTTCTTCACGTTCTCTCGCGTAGTTTATCCTCCTCCTCACCCTACCTCATCCGCTCGTGTTATTAACATCCTCGTAGAGACGGGGTATGTAATCTCGTATCATCTCGTTGACGGACCTTCAATAAACGATGTACATCGAGAAGCGTGAACCCTTTGATTAGAAAGGGTAAAATGATTTTTCCCATGAACCCGTCGGCATCGTTGCTCGCGTCAGGGATCAATATTGAACGGCAATAATACTTTCACTGCGTCACGTTTCAGAGTTGTTTGTCTTCGGAATACGATATAGCGAAAGCAATCTCATCGGATATATGTATAATAAATGGCTATTGAGACCAATAGTAGTATATCACCTTTATTTTCGGCTACCGTTTATCCATTCTTTTTTTTTTGCTCTTCGATTCATATTTCGATACGACTTATATTTTCGTTTCCATGGCGTGAAAAGAATATATCCGATAAATTCGAGCCAGTATAAATAAATATACAAATGTATTTACGTATAATTACGACATCATTTTATTCCGATTAGCCACTAAAGGTAAACTTAGATCTATGACGTAACAACAGGTGGGATAGTTTGATCGAGGGACGCAATTCTTTTACATATCGGCAGGTGTACAAGCACGATTAAAAATTTACTCACGATTTTATGGTGAAGATGTTGAAGTTCCCTTTCGGTTACTCTTCTACGGGACAACTCGCGTTGCTCCTGCCTGTACTGGTTGTACTTGTAGAAGAGATACATCCCGGGTAGGGCTAACACCACCAGAGGTCTCATGAAGCTGGACCGTCCACCCTCGCGAGGACGTTGTTCTGGTAATTCCGGGTCCTCCTGCGGCTGACCGGCTCCCTCATCGATAGTCGGCGCGGCTGCGCCAGCTGCTGGCATCCTTCTACAAAATACCGAACAAATTCAGAATTAAATTTCTTATTTTTAATTAGATAAATTATGAATATTTTACAATGCATGATACAATAGAAAAGAGAATATTAAGTTTTGACTGTTTTTCAGCTAACAAGAAGTAGTTTCGAGATGTACAAAATATTACATTAAAGAGCTGGTTAACTCGAATTATGTGATAATTGTTTATTTTGGAAAAACATTGACAGCATGAGAAAAATCTCCTTTTTAAAGCCTTCACGAGAAAAGAATGGTTCTGCTGAGGTATCTAAAAATTTAGCTAGATACAAATTTGAAAATAATTTCGCTGAACAATCAAAATTAAGCAGAAAAAATTCTGTAGAAAATTTGAGCATGCTGTGAAAAATTTTAACGTTCTAGCAACGTCCCACATAATACTTTTGATATTTCAAAATTATTATTAGATCTGTATTTGGCTCTTTTAGATATTTCAGCCAAAATCGTTCTCTACAATATTTATGCCCGTATTCATAGTCATACTTTATACTTAACGTTTCCTTAAATTTATCTTTAGACGCTCAGTAGCCGATAAAATAATTCGTAGAGCATCTGAAGATAAATTTAAGGAAGTCTTAAATATAAGGCCCGACTATGAATATGGGCAATAATTTATGCATCTCGAAACTTCTTCATGTTAGTTGAAAAACTGCCAAAACTTAACGTCCTTCTGTTTGCAAAAAAGAAAGTTATATATATATGTTGAACGATTTATATCTGGATAATACCTTTTTTGTTCTGAATATTTCTCTCTGAATTGTACTACAACTGCAGCATTATTGTGAAGCTTAATCAGCTAACGACAAGGAATTCTCAGTGACCGACACGATGTACTACTGCGCCGTACAATATACTCCCGGTGTGCATTGTGGCTTCATTGAAGATATCGAACCACGATGCCAGCTATTCCGCTCATTTGAAGAACATCCGGCGAACTGAAAGCGTCTAGCTCGATTATTGTAATTTCCGATTTTTCTCGCTTAATACACACGCGTTTTAACATTTCAGTCTCTTGGTTTCTCTTAAATTCTAAGGTATTAATTCTCGTTAAAGCGACGATACGCGGGATTTTAGTTTTGTGTTGTCAAACGAATGGCGAATTTTAGAACAAAAGAATTAGCTATTGCTCATTGATTCCCAATCAAATTCATTTTTTTTTTTTACTATCCTCCGCCGTTGCGATGCCGGTCCAGTAGGCGCGCATAGGTCGTTGCGTATTCCCAACACGAATTTATCCTTCTACTTTCTCTGTCATTTCTAGATATTTATAGTCTTCTCTAATGTATGTGTATGTGCCCCATGCTATGATATCTGCGGGAAAATAGTTTCCCACCCGCATATATCCTCAAATCTCGCGACTTTAATCTCGCAACTGTCGGAGCTGCGATTATTTCCGCAAACTCTCAGGTACAGGTTTTTGTATTTCTTGATTTAGAAACTACAAAAAAAATAGACAGCCAGACGTTTCACACCTTTTAAGTTAGATACGCCTTTATATAAATTCGCAAAGTTAGCACGATATATTTTTAATTTTATTTTTTAATATAAAAATAAATGCAAAATTCTTTTTTTTTATTTCGATAAGAAGCTGTAGAACTATAGAAAGTGCTTAGAAAGTGCAAATAAAACTGTTATTTTTTTTTTACATTAACTAAAACAAAACAGTACGCTATTTGGCATTTGACACTATTAAAAAAATATACATATAAATGTGTCAAAATGAATAGTCACAATCATTTATATTTATATCAAATATAAACGATCACAGTGAGCAGCGTGTAATGTAAAGTGTACTAAAGTATAATTTTCTTTTATTAAGAAAATGACAAAACAAAAGTACTATCATTTTATCACCTTGTGTTAGACAGTATGATATGCTTTTTAAAATAATGATTTCCCCATTAAACCTAATTCACTTCTCATAATATTTATCCTATTATGTTCAGAGAACGTCGTTAAAAATTTTAAAATGTTTTTTAAAAAAACTTAAAATGTATTGGATGTTTTTGATATTCAAATTTTCTTTGGAAATCTTTATTATATGCACAATAATTTTTTATCATAAATCTTATTTATCGTTACATTTCAATATAATCAATTTTATTTTCCTTTTATAGTTTATAAATTCTATTACACCTTTAGTACGGTAAAAATAAGGAATATGAAATTTCGTATGAAATTTTCTAAATTAATATTTATTTAATGTTACTCTAATATAAATACGATAAATATTCAGAATCCACAAATAATTTTACTATTCCCATTCCGCCTCTTCTGCTCACGTAATGATTTTTCATGCGAAGCGAAATCCATCTCACCTCTCCCCTGCCAAGGGATGCACGATCTTTTACACGAAGCAAGTTTTAACCCACCTTCTCCTCTGCCTGGAAACGCCCGACTTTCCACGCGAATAGAGTTCCACCTTTTCTCCCCCCCCCCTGCCAAAGGGAGTTTGATTTTTTATGCGGATAAATCTTACTTTGACAGGCGGGAAGATGGGGTGAAAGGTGGAACTTGCTTTGCCTGGAAAGTCATTATGCCCCATAAATAAAGGGTATAAGGTATTTAGTACTGTATATACTAAAAACAAAACAATATTTCTTAAACTTCTTTTATTAATAACTTTTTAACGAATAACTAGTGACAACTAAAATCTATTGAAGGTTACACTTTACTAAGGGTCATGATCTTGACAACATATTATATGTCAAAGTCAAGATCATCTGCGCTGGCTCCCTTAATCTGAATATTAATCATAAATACATATGAAGACTTTAAATTTATGCAGAACTTTTAAGAACTATGTTAGCTGCAACATCTAATTAATGAAAATCATCAAAACTTAAGTCTAATATCAATATATAATAAAAAAAGACAAAACATGTAAAAGCGTAAAAATAGTTCATATTTATTACTATATAATACAATAATATATAAAAAATAAAAGTATTATTGGATTATATTACAGATTTACAAAATTTTTTTTAGAGTTGAAGTTTAAAAAAATATATTTTTGAATTTATAACGTATTGAGTTTATAAAAGAAACTTATTTGTATTATTAATAATTTTAATTTAATTGCATTTTCAACATTAAGAATGGTACGATTAAAACGTCTGGTTTAAATTTTATTATTGTTCATAATTGTATTAAGTATTAAAAACCTTATGCGTAACTCTATATTTTGTCGTTTGAATTAAATTTAATGAGATTCTCTCCTTATTATTTTGAATAAAAATAAGTCTTAAAATAATTACGTAAAATAAATATTATTAGTATCTAAAATAGACATATTATTTACAAGAAGAGCTAAAGTATTACATCCACTCCTTCTACGCCTTCATCTACACTTCTATCCCCTCTTACTTTCCACTTCCCACTACTTTCCAACATAATCTTTTCCTTCCTTCTCTGAATGTTAATTTTTGATTTCATTATATCTCATAACCGAAGGAACAATACATTGTTTTATTTCTTTTCACATTGTCTCTAATTTCAACCAACTTTCTACGCTAAAAACACTTTTCATTTTTATATTAAAGAAATTTTGGTTTTTTACATCAAAGATATTTATTCGTATTAATTTATTTGTTACTAAATTATAAATTCATTTAATATATAAATAGACATTTTGCAAATTTAACTTTTATTAATTTTTGCTATCCTCATCTCAATGTATTATATCGTCTGTTGGCTATTCATAGCGATTTCTTCTTTTTACTGTAACAATAATCTTGCACTGACATAATTCTTGTATATTATATTTTACCTACTGGACTAAATTCATGCGTTATATTCTCTATTTTATTTTATATATCGAAGAATATTATTCAAGCTAATCAATTGACTACAATTATCTGACATTATTCAAACAATTCAATGATTGACTGCAATTAGACTGCAATTATCATGCGACTTTTTCCAAGCTACATTATAACTGTGGACAGGATGATATTCGTTTTTATGTTACCAGCGTTTGTTAGAGAGAGCGAAGTATACATTTTTATTATGTTTTGTTTTTACCGTTTGTAATATTATATGTTTTTAACATTAATAATGATCTGATCGCGATCGAAACGTTTGTTTTGTTGCTAACACATTGTATTAAATTTTAACTAAATAATATATTTGTTTCTTTTACTTGTTACTTTTACTTTTATGTTCAAACTATTTCTATATTAATAACGTTTAATTTTATAAAATAATTTTTAGCTCGTAGCCCTTTTTCTTTATTGGTTTTTTTAAAATTTATGGGCCTTATTACTAATAGACATTCTAAAATATTATAAGGCGTTAAGTGACTTGCCGTTCAGTGCGATTGACTCGCGATCTGTAGATTCGGGTTCAATTCCACCTACGCTAATGCAAATCAAATAATTATCTATATTTGATAATTTATGCACTGACAACTGCACGTGATATCTCACGTGCCCAATTTTATTTTAATTATTAATTCAATTAAAAAAGTCTAAAAATTTTTTTGTTATTGATTCTAAAAATATCATGAAATTGCGATAAATTAATTATCAATACACAACATTTTTTTCTAAGTACCGTGATGTCTTCTACATTTAAAGTCTATTAAAATTGTGATACTGATTGGAATTTTGTTTTTAAATTACATACACATTTTTTACAGCATAATAAACTGCACTTTTTTCTCTTTCTTATGTATTTTTTTTTTGCGCTATTATAACGTTTAAAATTACTTTTCTTTCAGTATGATGCGATTTGGGCAACGAGAAAATTTATTATCTAAATCGCATCATACCAATATTCCTATTTTAAAAGGAAGAGTGTCGTGCTATATATGAATTTTTGAAGAATTATCAGAAATTGAACTAATTTAAAACAAATTCTTTTTTATATATGTATTATCTGCGAGCGAATAGGTCTGTACTTTATAAATTATAACCGTTCCGTTCATTGATCATCTTAGATTACTCCGAGGCAATTAAAACTGCAATCGTTCATCAAATATCTATAATTATTCCGCTGGGAATCTCACTCTCTCTCTCTCTCTCTCTCTCTCTCTCTCTCTCTCTCTCTCTCTCTCTCTCTCTCGACCGGATCGACTTTCTGGGCAATGGAGAAAACATGTAAAATATAATCCGCGTACTACTATCTAACATCTAATTAACGATTTACGGTTCCGACACAAGAATACCAGACTGGTATTTAACTGCGTCGACAGATCTTCGTGACTTCAATGAAATTTCGTAATCTACTTGCCGGTCATTCACCGTCTATATTTAATTCAGTCGTCTACATGCTGTTCTATTCTTAAACTGGCTGCTCTAGAAATACACGCGGCTCGCTCTATATCGTCGCTGCCCGGAGTCGGGTCGTGCACCCTACTTCGTTGCACTCGCACTAAGGAGAGATGCAGCGGTGCCGATGGTTACATGCGCGGCATCACGTACGCCGTTGTCTGTGTCGGTGATTTCCCGTATGCGGTCTGCATGTCGTGGGCAGACGTCGATAAGGGCGGTAAGTCAGCTTTGCGAACGCATCGTATCATATTCGCGGGACTGCGGAATTTTCGAGAATGTAACTACCGATCGGAGGTACTACTTTGGCAAGAATCGCCAAAATACCTCAGAATTGATTGAGATGACTACAAACGAAATCCTTAAATTACGAATGTAAACGTTGTTTAATTAGAATCTTCCCAATTATAATTTACAAGTGTGTCGCGGCGCTAAATTTATATCCAGCCTTTCTAAAGTCGGCGATATACGGTGTTTATTTTCTTGCTGGATTGCTAGCTCGATTAGATTCTTGCCATCGGCAATTGGCTGCAATGCCTGGCGCTATCAGCACCGCAACCAATACAGAACAAAATTCCAATCTAGCTAACAATCCAATAAGAAAACAAGCATCGTGTGCAGCCGACTTTAGAAAGAGATAATTGAAAAATACATAACCCGCCTGGAGTCGAGAATGGGGTGTAGATTTGTAGACGAAAGCACACGCGGTTATAAGTTTTCTTTGCTGATGTCCAGGTACACCGTATTGTACGGAACATAGTGGCCGATCCGTTCACGCCGCTCAAACGATCCCGGTGATTCATGCACACACGGGTGAAGCAGTTTTCGCGATGCTCCAATACTTCGAAACACTACCCGCCGACGACCCGCTCCGGG